CTGGTGCCACAGCCATATGTACAGGTCCTCACTGGCCTCAGTGCCTGCTCCATGGTCTCCAAATCGTCGCATGTCAATTCCCCGGCGAACTGCCCAGAGGTTACAATGAAACGCTTTGTCACTGCTTCGCAGCTACTGGATTGTCCGTAATGTGCTGTACACATTCGCTCAGTGCCGGTCCAACAGGGGCAAACTTTTCAGGTCAAGAAGGTGCTGGGGCAGGGTCTCTGGCCTCGCCTTTACCGTCCCCACCCAGCTTCACCCACCCGACTTCAACAACGTCTCAAGGGTCTCTCTGTCCTCGCACATCGAAGCGAAGTCGCAGATCATGTCCCCAGGCGTGTCCCCATATTCCCTCCTTGCCCTCGCGTCGGCGCCCCCTTCCAGCAGCAGCCGCACGACCTCCAGATGCCCGTCCCTCGCCGCCTCGTGCAGAGGCGTCTCCCCATCAACGTCCCTCGCATCCACGGCGGCGCCGGCGTCCAGCAGTAGCTGCACGACGCCCACGTTGCCTATCTCGGCTGCATCGTGCAGCGGCGTTTCCCTGTCGCAGTCCGCGGCGTCCAGGTCCGCCCCGCCGTCGATCAAGACCTCCGCCGCCGCGACGGCATTCGTCTTGGCCGCCAAGTGCAACGGCGTGTTGTCGCAGTCGTCCTCCGCGGTCGCATCCACAGAGGCCCCCGCCGCGACCAACAGCCGCGCAGCCTGCTCCGCATCCCCTTCAGCGGCCAAGTGCAGCGGCGTGTACCCGTCTAGGCACCTCACACTGGAGTCGGCGCCCGCGTTCATTAGCATGGCCGTGACGTTCTCCATGTCGTTGGCCGCGGCGACGTGCAGAACACTGCAGCCGTCCAGGTCACCGCCAATCGTGCAGCATGCGTCGGGACTGGCTCCATTGGACAGGAGGTCACTCACGGCGGCATCCGTAGATGGGCCCTCCGGCCGCGCGACGGTGCGTATGAGCTCCTGTGGAATGGTTACAGCGCTCAATCCACTAGGAAAAAAGAGCCAAATAACACGTGCTCAAACGTGTGCAAAGTCTACGGGTTTGTGTTATTTTTGTGTTCTTAGTGTGTAAAACTTTGATGAAATGTGTTTTATGTGTTTTCGCAAAAGTGCTATTTGGCCCGTTTTTCCTAGCGATCGGTGCATCAGAACTGCGGGGTGCCGTGGCCGACGGGCAGCCGTCGGCTACCGGTTTCGTGAGATGAAAGGAATGGCTCCCAAGCGGCTTCAGAATATTGAAGCCATTTTGCCAGCAAAATTCCATCGAGGAATGGGGAACTATGCCAGTTTGCACTTTTTTCCTAAATTCAAAGTAAATCCAAAACAGAACTATTTCCAAATTCTAACTTTAGAAATTAGAACTACAATTGAATTCGAATTTAGGTCGAAACTCCTCAAGATTTTGAAACAAATAAATTCATACCCATTATAAAAATGGATGCCGTACATGACTACCCCACAAAGTGGTCGAACGGACTGAAGGCAAAAACCGGAGCAGCGATTTTCTGGCAGCAATTCTCCGAAGAATTGCTACTCTTGAATTCAAGAGGGGCAATGTTCAGTGGTCAAAACCGTTGAAAAAGATATGTGACGCTGCATTGTGCGTGTCTTAAAGGGAAAACTCTGGACGCAGGAGAGGACAAACGTACCTCGTCAAGCGCCACTTGTTCAGCCGGTGCAAGTGCAGTTTCCTGCAAAACGTGCAACTTTGTTTGCATCGGTTGCCCAATTAACAAGCTGCATTCCTGATGTATTTTGCATACCATTGATGTGGTCAATTCCGCTAGAGCAGTGATTCAAAGGCATCAACAAAAGAACCATGTGAAACCAATATACACTACCAATATGTATATATATACATACATGTATATATATGATGTATATATGTATGTATATATATATATATATGTATATATGATGTATATAATGCCGAAGCCAACATGTCTTCCGTTGATGCAAACGGTGGAATAAACATGTTGGTGAGTGTGAGGAATCGGGATGGCGCAAATTGCACATTTGCGTAGTGTTTTCTTATGCATTCTGCAAAACCATAACATATATGCTGTCTCTTTACCATGTTGCCACTTATTAGTTCTTGTCTGCACGTCCATTTATGCATTTATACTATACTCGACGCGGTACGCGACATATCCAGGCGATGCTCTTTTGAGCAGATGTGTCCAACAAAACTCCCATAAGGCCGCAGGGTGTTTAAGCGGGCACAATCCGTGGTATAAAATACATCTTTATAAGTATTATGATGTTTTCGATGCCTGGTAACTTAGGAGACTTCTACCTACAGGCGAATCACTCGGATCCAAGCAGCCCTGATAGGCGCAAATATGAGTATTGTGATGTTGTACTTATGTATGGCACTTTGGCCCAGAAATGTCTATGGACATTCTGCATGCACTGGCAACGAATAGTTGCGAACGAATGCAGACCAATATTCCATTCTACAAACAGCGGCTTGATAAGTACCCACGGACGTGTCTGTTTCCGAGAACGCATTGTCCAACACACATCGGTCAATTCAACACCATTCCTGGGAGAGAGTGTCTCAAGCTGAGAATTGGTTCTGCAAGAGTATTCCAACGTGGCCCGGTGCAAGCGATACGCTCAGAGGCAGTCGCAATGCCTGGTGCACCAGGAAATGGCTGCAGACATCATGGTCTACATTGTGGGAAACGCCGTGCAGAGCTTTTGCTGCAGATGGGGCCAATCAACTTCGAACCATCTTCTTTTCTACGTGTCAAGGAACTTCTCAACTTACAGTGGCTACGGTATTGGGTGCAGGTGGGGATGCAGGAATGGCTGCAGGTGGAGGTGCAGGAGGGGACGCGGAAATGGCAGCAGGTGGGCCCGCAGGGAGGACAACTGGAATGGTCGAGTTCTCTTTCTCCTCTGCAGTTGGAGGCTGCGAAGCAAGAGCGTCCATGACTCCAAATTCCGTCTGCGCACACCATTGCCAGCGTCATCAAGTTCGTGGATCACGAACCTCGAAGTTTTATATCAGTGAGAAGGAAGCAAAATTTGAATACCCTTCATGCAGTAACTGGCTCTATTCCCCCTCTAACTTGACCGTGTTTCTACTTTCTAGTTGGACAACGATCATGTCTGCACCCCTTGTAGTTTGTGCTTGGATACTGTGAGGTTTCGCAAAACATTTTACTAGATTTGCTTCCCTGCTCTCACTATAGTTTTGCATGAATGAAGTGCTGTGTACGACAGTCTCGAATTTTTTTTTCAAGAGGGTTACTCCAAACATGTGGTACACGTCTCTGCAGACAGCAACACCAAGTGGAGCATCACAGAGCAATGTATGTTAATTCTTGTTCCTGGATAATGGCCTATTCTGGAACACTGATCCAAGGAGCAGGTGAAAAGTATTTCCCTACACATGAGAGTAAACGCCAAGCTTTGCAAGCCTACAAGGAGTCCCAATAAAGGCCAATAAGCTTGCTTTCAAGTGTCCATCATGACAGGACCACAGTGACAGTGCTATTACGCAGATGTCAATGGTGGGAATGCATACTAACTTGAGATGGAAGTCCAGATATGGGGAGTGGATGCCAGCAGGGAGTGGACGATAATACCAAGGAATTATGGTGAACATTGGCACAACAGCTTCCAGCTGCTGCAGGTATATTGTTGGCGATAGGGCGGGTTCGCAGTGGAACGTTTATAATGCTTATACCTGGAATTGAAACATGTTACATGATGGAATTAAATTGCTGTCACCAATACCATGTCAAAGATATAGATTCTGACCATTTTAAGGCCACCTGTAACATTACTCGAGCATCATGAGCTTCCCATTGAATGAAAGGCGTAGATGCTGCAACAAAATTGTCCAAGCAAAGTGTGCAATGCTACGCAATCCCTGTGTCGTTTCCTGCTGCACATTGCTTGCACTTCTCTGGCTGGGCTCAGATAATTGCATTTTCATGTGCTTAATCATATTATTGCATTATGTATATTCTTCGATGAAGAATGCTGGCGTGATGATTTATGTGCAAAAACAATCCTTGCGTTTTGCACACAAAACAGCGCAGAATAACGTAGACACAGGTCCTGTGTACATAAATACATAACATACAGACTCAGGGAGTCTGGAGAGTGGCAGGCAGACATGCTGAACTGGGTAGAAAACGAACTTTTGTTCGATGACGTCACTGTCCTTGCAGAAGGCGAGATGGATGCCGTGTTGTGCATGCTCAAGGGGCCAGAGGGCTGATCATTATCTGTGACTTCGTCATGCAACCAGGTTGTCCTCAATGCACCAACAAATATGCTCATGCAGTCGTTTCAATGTTTACACATTTCTACATGTAAAATCGTTAATGAGGAATGGTACCGTGAACGTGATGACCAAGCCCTCATGTATTCCATTATTAAACTTATTAAATATGCTTCAACGGTAGCTATGGCACTTTGGAACACTCTTTCAGTAGAAGCGGCGAGTTCTACAGCCCCTTTGGATGGAAATCAGCGAAGCTCAGGATGCCAGATCACAAAGTAAAAATTATTTTAGGCAGCCAAAACGTCGGTCAGGATCCAAGGCCATTAATTGCACAGCGCTGCTCCTTGGCATCCACACATAACAGGGCCACTCTTGATTGTGGCCAGCTGATGGCACCAAACATGGTCTTGGCTGCCCACCGCCCGCCAGAAGGGAAGAAGCCAGGCAGGATTTTTCATTTTCTTCATCGTTTTCTGGCTGAATGGTATGAAGTTGCATGTGTGGGGCACAGACTTGAAAACAAAAAGGCTGTCCTAAGGTATCCGCAATTGATATGCTGCCGCTGTGCTGCCATTTTTCGATTGCCAATAAATTTCGACACAATGATACTCACAACACTTCCTGGGTTGGGAATGTACAGCAAGACAATGCCAATACACTGGCACCAAATGAAACTCAAATTCGCTAATGTCATTGTCTGCAGCAGAAGAGTTACACCTACACAACTGAAGTGCCAGTTGCCGAATTTCAATTACTCAACACAGTTTAAGCATGGTTGGAGGCTGTATGATATGCCACATAGTTCCCTGCTAGCACCGCATGCAACTCTCTTTTCCACTTTTGGCACCTCGTCATACTGGCCCTCGCTCTCAATCACTGTGTCGATCCATCTGCGGTGGTAGCTGACCCTCGTGTAGACACCTGGCTTGTCCGATTCGCCACATTTCGATTCTTTGTCACCAAATGACGTAAGGCCCAGTAGAATGTCGCCTTTTGGAATTCCCTCAGCGGTGTTGCCTCGGGGACTGAAGGCTCTCAACAATGGGCCACCACTGTCGCCTGATCACCATCAAACACTGTTATTTCAAACATACATCCAGTGCTATCCCAGGCCAACAATTTCCTCCTTGTTTCTTGATTTGATCTGTTGAAATTAATTCACATTATTGCCGCTTTAAATCTGCAGATCTACCAAGAGCTTCAAGATTGAACCAGCTTAAATTCTTTCTGCATTTCTAGGCTTCTGTTTCTCAACCAATATATACCACATATTGATGCAGGTAGGCTCGTCGCCGGCTTCAAATGAAAATCGAAATGCTTACTTGATTCATCCAATGATTACAAAGTTCTTGCAAGAAAGGTGTCCATAATCCATTGATATCAAATTCACAAGCACAAATTGTCGTTAAGAGGCCACAAGATCATGATTTGATCCATCTTTCAGTGTTCGACGCAATCTAAGCATGAATTTCTGCGACTCGTTACGATTTAAACATTGAACCCAATTGTGACAAAGTAGAGTCGAATGCAAGCAGCCAATGTCGTCATTGATGACCTTTCAACTAACGGGCGAAAGGGCAGCGTTTTCAACTTCGATCTCGATTTTGCATCCACAAAGTCGACCATGTCAGAATTGTTTGTATCACACGAATGCATCGCACACTAGAGGCCCAATCTCTGGGGACGTCCCCAGAATTTCCTGGGGACGGGGGGCAGGGACATCAACGACCTGGGGCGGGGACGTCGCCATGTAGAGGGCGGTTTCCGTCCCCAGCGTCCCCATCACCGCACGTCACCGGGCGTCCCGAATTCTGTCCCCGCCTGGCGGAGGGCTCACGTCCCTGGCATCCCCAGGACCCGACGTCACCGGGCGTCGCCGAATTTTGTCGCTCGGTGGCCGAGGAGGAGCGTTTGCGTGTCCCCACATCCTACGGGGGCAGCGGCCTCACTTAGGGGCCCCTTGAAGCCGCTGGCCCCTGTGGGACGCGGGGACGCGGGGACGAACGCTTCCCCCTCCTCCCCCTCCCCTTTGGGGGCCCTTGAGGCCGTTGGCCCTGTGAGGACGTTGGGACGTGGGACAGTAAGTGCTGCCCCTCTTTCCTCCCTTGGCCTTTTGAGGCTTGCCGGCCCCCCATGGGGACGTAGCAAGCGTTCCTCTCTCCTCCTCTTTTGCCTTTGAGGCCAAGAGGCCCCCATGGGGACGTATGCGACGCAAAGCTGCTCCCCTTCTCCCTTGGGGCTCGATGCCGCTGGCCTCGTCTCCGCAGTATCACTGCACCCCCATGCCCAGCAGAGCCTGGGCAAGTTTCAGGGGAGGGGGAGCATATCTATCTCTATGTCTCCCACGTCTCCTAAGTGGGGAGTGACAAGGCATTCTCAAGTGGGCTCTCTGGGACGTGGGGACGGGATGTGGGATGGGATGTCTCCCCACACACACACACACACTCCTTGGGGCCCGAGGCCGCTGGCTCCCCGAGGACGGGGATGCGGGTGTTCCCCCCTCCCCTCCCCTCAGCCTCTTTGAAGCCGTGCTGGACAAAAGTGGTGTGGGGACGTGAGGACAGTCATTTCTCAGCTTTGAGCTTTCCTAGCTGCAATGGGGACGCCCGGCGACCTGGGGCTGTAGGGACGTTGGGGACGATATCATGCTGGAGGCCGGTGACGAATTCTGGGGACCCCCGGCGATGTGGGGTTGTGGGGATGCTGGAGATGGAATCGCTGTGCCAGTCGGGGACGGAATTCGGGGATGGCCCACCCCCGCCCTCCCCTTTCGAGGGCGTCGCCGGGAACGTCCCCACCGTCCATGGGGACGTCCCCGGAGGTTGGGCCTTTTCTCGCACCACAAATCTGACTATGCATAAGCACACAACCCGGATGGCAGCTTTGGTGCTGCCAATGAAAAACGTCATTTTGATGACGCCAACTTAGGTCTCGTTTGACTAAATGATGCCATCACAGCGATGGGACGGCGTTAAAGTAAATGAAATGGCATCATTGGGTGCCATTATGACTCCACAGTTGGCATCGACAACACAGCTTTTCTTCTGGTACTACCTTTGCAGGTGTCCTGTCCGTTGATGAAGCCGAACGCGCATAGCATTGAATCCTTGATGACATCTCCCCACAAGCTTGGCGCTGCACACGCCGCATTGCTTATGGCTGCCAGACGGTCCGCCTCCTGCAGGTTTCCGTCGCCGATCCCATTGCCGTCGGCGCCCCATCCCAGTGCGACGAGAATTTCGCCCTTGCCGACTTCCAGGAAGGCGCTCGGCAGGGCGATGGGCTGATGGGTGGAGGCGTGTGCCAGCCACAGGAGGGCAATGTCGTTGCCTTGCTGGAGTTGGCCCATCCAGCTGGGGTGCGGGAACACGCCTTGGGGCCTGGTTACCTGTAAGGGGCAAAGAAAGGGTGAGCGGCTATTTGGGACTTACCAGACGCTGCCGCATATTGTTGCCGGAGCATCAGATGAACAGGAGCCGATGGCATTACTTTCGTCTGTTCCAGTCGGGGATTAAGACTGCCTGCTTGCATCTGTACGTTACTTTATTGCAATAGTCCACTATGGCCATTTTGCGTGTACGATTGGTCACTGCTGGCAACTGGCATTTCTTTAAATATTATAGTTAATTCCAAGCGGTGCGATTTCTCCCACCTCTATTTCCCCGGATACCACGTCGTCATTCAGATTGCAGCCGCCGATGTAGAGAATTTGGCTAGTCGCAAGTGTGGTATCTGCGTCTAGACAATGCGCCGCAGTCAGCGCCCAGTTCTCATCGATCAGCACAGCCCCGCAGCGGTGTATGGCGTCCTCGTCTCGCAGAGAAATCATGTACGGGTACCTGCCACACGGCGCTTTGGAGCCCTGTTACGAGAAGAAAGAGAATCATTAATATCAATTAACTACTTGATAACTCATTTTATGGAGAAGACAGCCAGAAGCTGTGTCTACAATTTCGCCAAAGATATGGATCATTTATGTATGCATCTCCACCCAATTGAGCCATGTGAGTCATGGGCTGGTGCCTAAAATTGCCAGGCAACTATTTTCTTAGATTGGCTCATCCAAATCTCATGGCATGCATCGTGTACTATCCCACCGAGACAGCGTTGCTAATTTGACACCATAAAAATCCAAACGACTCAAGCAGAATTTCCAAGCCTCCAAGGCTGTCCCTTCAGCAACAAGCCCCTGATCATGCCACTTTCTGGCGAGCAGCGTTCAGTGAAGAGGCCTGACATTTGGTTGAACATTCTCTGTTTTGGCTGCCAACTCTGTCAAGTAGGGCGACTGCAGAATTGGTTTGTGGTCCACAAAAATGACGAGCCGGCAACCGCAGTATTGGATACTGACCAGGATCTGAACAGCTCAACAAGATTTCTACTTGACAGGTGACAATCCTGCTTGACAGCCACAATTTATTACAGTATCCAAACTGCACATTAGAGATGGAGAACATGGCCCATTCCACAACCAGTGATGTTTCTGAACATGCTGCAGCTGTGGAAGAGGCGGAATCATTTGTATGCATAGCAGTGACGCCTTCCATGTCATCCAAAGGCACTCCCAAAATAATGCTTGTGAGGGCGAGGAAATTATGCAAGTAGCAAAGAAGGAAATGATGCTAAAATGGTGTGGCTGGACATGAGAAACACTGTGTTATATATGGTGAATATGGGGTACAGTGATTACTAACTGGGAACATTTGCTGTGAGTACAATTTGATTGGTATGTTTGTGTTGTGATGCATCTGGTTGTGGCCTTGCTTCCCGTGCCTGGGAGCGATTGTGTGTGAGAGACTTGGTTTTCATCTCAATGCTGTTTACTTGATTGTAATCTACAATTTCGGACTATCATGAATAATTCATGATAATCCAGAAACAGTAAAGATGCAATTATTGCGTCTCTCTAAAGAGATTAGAATGCATTATGCCAAGTATGCATTACATCAATGTCAAACTAAAGCACAATTGAATAAAACAGAAGGGATCAAGAATTATGAAAATATTGTGCAGCGGTGTGACTGTGTATTGCAAAACTCTGCAGGGTTTGATTGCCATCTTTTGCATTTTCGACTTGGCCGCCGAATGGGAGCACCAGCACCACAGAACGTTTCAAGGTTGCACTCACCACGACGATTTTGGGGACAGGTTTCGATGAATTTGATTCCACTGAGTCGTTAAGAAGCCCTCTTCTGTGTCCATCAACTCTTGGAAGATCTTCACCTTGCAACCAGCACTCTTTTCAGTGATGAATACATTTGTTTCGAACCAGCCACAGCTGCAAATAATTATTGCAATGAAGGGGCCAGTTTTGCACCCACAATTGTGCTGGTTGGCTGCTCCACAAGCAGTTGCCATTCAATGAACATGTGCTGTAAAATGAAATAAGCTGACTGAACATATTTGTCCTCCACAAGGTAATTCGTGGTGATTGAATACAATAAAACTGCATCATTCCTGTATTTTTCACTCATTGATCAAGTCCGTGACACTTAAGTTTGGCCATCACAGGCATGACTATATCCCTGAAGAAAACTGGTTGCCAGTTTGATGACATTTGGGATATGCAATGAAATAGAATAGCACTGTGCATGAAACGAATGGTCATTTCCTGAAATCTGCATCCCGTCAAAGTTAAGTTTCCCTGCATGGACAGCATTCAAAATGTCGCTGCTGCCAAAACGTGCAGATGGAATGGGGGCATTGCAACAAGGGCCCAGTTATAGCACTACATGCATTCTACATTCTGGCTTCAACCTTGCAGATATTTCTGATGAGTGCTTGCTGACAACAAAAAGCTGGCAATTTGGTAACACCATACGATCAACTGCAGAATGCAGTTTAAAATAATGGTCAACTCAATAGTCAAGTGCCGCTTAGCAGCATTCATCATTCTGCACCTTATCGGCAATTTCAAGGGCATGTGCATGTGTGTGAAACTGTGAACTGTCGCTTCAACCCAGACTGACTTGTGTCAGCAGAGTTCACTAATAGTGCCCCAAATGACAGCATGCCAACAGACTTTTTTGGTGGCAACATCATGTGCATGTTAAATGTGCATGGATGATTCCCAACTTGTTAATAAACGATGCCTTGGCCCCGGCAGAGCATTCAAGACAATGATTGGCCCCCCCTTCCCCCACCCCTCCCTTCCAGTGGCACATACACCCACTCACCCACTACAAGCCATGGCTCTCAAACGCAAAGGCACAACGACAGATGATATTCGCCGCGACATAATTTTATGAATTTTAGAAACATCGACTCACGCTGTCCCAGGTTATACTTCCATGGGGACGACATATAAAAAAATGCCATACGTCTGCTGCCTACAGTTGTCCACAGGCTGTCTCACCTGGAGCGGCGGAAACCGCCAGGAGCACCCCCACCAACAACGAAACCGCCGGGCATACCCCCGACCACTGCCTCCCGGACGCCCCCAGGGCCATGGCCCAGCTCCCGGCGTACGGCCCCCACTTTCACAACCAGAGCGCCAAGCCGGGTCGACCTACAGGGAATGTCCCTATAGGATCCGCCAGCCTCCAGCGCCTCCTCAAGGTTGGTCAGCTGGCAAGCGTTCCGCCCAGCCGCGCGTGATGATGGCCCCCGACTGCGGATCTCTAAGTCGCACGACGGGGACGAGGGGTCCTGATCGAGGTCGTGATGCCAAAGAGGGAGCAATCGCACCGCAGAGGCGGATCAGGAGGACAACGAGGATCGATCACTGTGGCAGGGGTGCGGCCGCCCTAGATGGAAGACGGTTGGCCCGGGCCAGCCAGGAGTGGCGCCTTGGGAGGCGGCGGGCGAGTGGACTTTCGAGCCAGAGGGGCTCTTCCGGGGCGGAAATGGGGCGGGGGGCAAATTGGTGAAATGACCCGGAGGAGGCTCGATGCTGGGCGCGGTGTGAGCTAACTGTAAGCTGGGTACCAACTTCGAGAATATATTTTTCCCTGTATCTTTTCTGTGAAGATCTTTTCTTCTTCCACTGACAAGGCCAATGCCGGTCAGTGGGTCAGTGGTTTAGGGTTCAGGGAGTCCGAAGAAGAAGAAAAGGAAAAAGAAGGGATCTCTATGGAAAGGGCAGAGACTAATTTCATGCCACCAGCTTTGATGTTGGTTGGCGGACAACGTGGGCGGTGGTGTGAACGGCCTGCTTGCCGGAGTTATAGACTAGAAGTATACTGCTAGTCTATAACGCCGGCAAGCAGGCCGTTCACTACGTAGTGAAGCCCTGGAGTACGCAGCAGAAGGTTGTGGTCCCAAGAAATGATCCACGTTATGGTAGAATCTTCCACTTAAGGAAGATGATTCTGATGTGGCCTTGGCGCGGTCACCAGCAGTGACAAACCAACTTTGTCCAAAAACTGGCCATGCACATAAAAGATTCTCGGGTGAAGTGGGCAAGGGGCCAAACCGCTGCACGAAAGTCAAGCGCGCAGTCTGTAAAAAGGTTTGCCCAGGCCGCAATCGTCTGCAGGAAAGTGGTATGTCTACCGTGCAGAACGCGTAGACACCGGGTATAATTGTGTTGTTGCATGTTGAGAGATTTTTGATTGTGTCCATTGAATCATTACTGCCAGTGTGCTCCACTCTGAAGTTGCATCTCCAAACCAGTCAGTAGAACCCGCTTTCATTGCACCTCTGTTTGCTTATCACAGTCGAACCTTGCTAGTAGGATGGGGTATTTTCAGGGCCAGGTCCTGGCGTCTAGGACTACGTCCGGAATGGGGTCCTGGAACGCACGGTCCCGGACGTATTTTGGCCATAACCGGACCAGTCCGGGGGCGGTCCTAAAGGGTCCTAGACGGAGTCCAGCGGTGGATGCCAACAATCACTGATGGGATAGGACGCCATCCGGAGGCCCCAAGATGGGGTCCGGAGGGCGCAGGACGGGGTCCGGAGGGCGCAGGAACGGTCTGGAGGCGCAGGACGGGGTCTGGAGGGCGCAGGACCGGTCCTAAGGACTCAGGACGATGTCCGGAGCGCACAAGATGGGGTCCGTAACGGGGTCTTGAAGAACCCCATCCTCACTGCAATGTGGCCTGTGGGGCACCTTGTCCTACCGGCAGATCATGGGCGTGCTAACGGCAGATCATGGGCGTGCTTCAATTGCAGGGACGAAGGTCATAGGCCAAGAGGGAGGAGGAGGACCAACGATAGCTTTACAAGTTTTCCCATACAACCATCGACCCACAGTTTGGGCCGCAACTCCAGTGCCGCGCTTTGAAGGTGGCCGCCAACCAGTCAAGTCCACTTCACCCATGCTGCAGAAAGCTCACCACCTTCAATCGTGTCGACTTGCGCAAGGTGACCTGCACACAGCAGAAACTTTTCAACCAACACCCCATTCACCCATTCGCAAGCAGCAACGCCAAGGGGGTCGAGAACCAGTCCGGTGCGGTCCCCACCGCCACCAGAATGCTCGCCAGAATGCTCATCGGCATGTGAATATTACGACACGACACAGACGCGGCGACCCCCTGCCCACAACACAAACTTCAAAAAGCAAACCCCTTTCGCAAGCTTCTGTTCAGGGTGCCCTCCAAAAGCAAACCTGCGCAATTCCTACCGCCGCCAGATCTGACATTCTAGAACGATCGCCAGAATGCTCACCAGCTTGTGAAGATCATGACACGACATGCACACGGCGACCCCTTGCCTACAACAGCAACTTTTTCAAACTGCCCGCCCTTTCGCGTGCTGCCATTTCACAACGGCCAAAACAAACCCCTAGGGAGCGCAACCGACACTACAACGCTCACCAGAATTGCTAGCCAGCTTGTGGCTCTGATGACACGAATGCACGACCGTTGCGACTGCCTACCAACACCACAAACGTTTCAAAAACAACAGGCCACTCTTTCCCATGCCGCCCTTTCAAGGAGGCCACCAAACCGCCCCGCAGTCATCATAGCCTCCCGCTGCTGTCAACGGCCGTTCCTTTGACGTAGTCGTCGACTTTGCCAGCAGGGCCTACAGGCGCCCACACCGCAAGCAAGAGTTCACTGCGCTAATGCAGCAACCTCCGGCCCCAAGGCTATTTTGGGGGCCAATTTGGGCGGCGGCAGCCCGATTCGGCCAAATGCCACCACACGACAATGAGCCCAATTGCTGCAACAGGGGCCAGTGCTGGGGCCACACATTGCCACGGCAGTGGGCTGGAAGCCCTGAGTTGGGAGCCACGGCGTCGTGTCGTGCATTTCAGGCGGCTGCCAGACGACTTACAGGCGAGCAGAGAGCGATCCACAACCGAGCGCCGAGGCGGCCCCTCGGCGGTGGGGGCAGCAGCGGCAGCCAGGGTGGCACCGGGTTCGGCCCGGCCTCGGTACGCCGCCAGCCGGCGTTGTGCCTGGAGCCAGTAGGCTATTGGCCTAGGGCATACTGGGACCCGGACGGCGGCGTACCGGGTCCAGGGCTTGACCCCCACCTGGGGGGCGGCTGAGGCGGCAGAGGCGTTGGGCCCCAGTGCACCCCCAGTGTCGGCAGTGTCGACGGTCGAGGCGGCCATGGCGGTCCCGGCGGCGGGCCCCAGGGCACCCCTTGGTGGCCGAGGTGGGGGAGGCGGCAGAGGCGGGGATAGCATGCCGGGCCCAGTTTGCCAATGGGTGTAGGCTTCCATTTCCAGCACTAGGACCATAATGGCGTTGCTGAGGCAACCCCTGGTGGTGTCGGCAGTCGAGGCGGTTGAGGAGGCGGCTGCGGTCGCGGCGGTGGGACCCATGGCCCCCTTGGCGGCCCCGACGGTCGAGGCGGCTTCGGCGGGGGAGGTGGTCTGGGCAGTAGTTCCCAAGGCACTCTGCGGAGGCGCAGGGGCGGTGGAGGCGGTGGACCCCAAGGGCCCCCCCTGCGGTCGAGGCGGTGGCGATGGTGGGCCTTAAGCCCCGCGGTCGGAGGTGGTGGTGGCGGTGGTGGCGGTGGTGGCGGTGGCGGCGGTGGCGGCGATCCTGATCAGCCGGCCCCCTACCCGCCAAGTAGTCTTGGCGGCCCCAGCGGTTTCTAGTGTGCGCAGTCGGCGAGCAACACTCCCTGACGCTCGCCGAGCGACGGCATGCACGACACGATGCAGGAGGCTGCCCACAATCTCACTGGCCCATTCCATCTCCTTCCTCAGCAAATTTCATCTGCGCAGACCGCCGTACACATTGTATCCATTGTAGACCCGCTCCGTCGCCTGCAGCCCCGCCACTCTCTATCTCCCCAACAAACTGATCTCACGCTTCTTC